GACAACTCGAGGAGAAAGACTGCATCTTTTCCTTCGAAAGTGGTACCGTGCAGATACGCTACCAGGGACTCCTCATTGCACGTGGCGAGCGAGTTGGTCGCCTCTACCGCCTCAAGCTCGACGTGAACCCAGAGTATCGTCGACTCCATGGCTACACCGCTGCCGCATCAACTACTATAAAGCCTCACCCAGGTACGGCTACCACACCCTACATTTGGCATTGTCGCTTGGGTCATCCTGGAGCATCAACCTCCAAGTCCATCACCGCACATGCAAGTCTTGAAGGTCTTCGCATCACACCAAGCTCCGAGTCTCCCTCCTCACTTTCTCCATGCCCTTCATGCGTTGAAGCCAAGCACACACACCATCCTCATCCCCCTGTCAATGTTCAAGTCTCAAGTCCTCTTGACCTTGTTCATAGTGACATCATTGGTCCTGCTCGCACGCTCAGTCGCACGGGCAAGCGATTCATCATGACCCTCATCGATCATAAGACACGTTTTGCATGGGTCTTCCTTCTTGAGTCCAAAGACCTTGTTCCCGAAGCATTCAAAGTGTGGCACGAACACATCAAGAACACAACCGGCCTTCAAGTCAAGACTCTGCACTCGGACAGAGGGGGAGAATACATGAGTAAGTCATTTCGCAATCACCTCTCATCCATTGGCATTGCACAAGAGCTTTCATGCCCCTACACCCCTCAGCAGAACGGCATTGCCGAAAGGTTCAACCGCACCTTGCAGGAAATTGCAAGATCTCTTCTCCTGCACATGAAGCTGGACGATGCATGGTGGGGAGAAGCCGTGAACCATGCCGCCCACCTCAAGAATCGTCGCCCAACCATCGCTCTTCCTTCAGGTATCACCCCATTTGAAGCATGGCATGGGAAGAAGCCCGATGTTTCCATGTTGCGTGTGTTTGGGTGCATGGCACAATACCGCATTCCCGATGAAAAGAGAGGAAAGTTTGAGAGCAAGACACGTTGGGCCGTGCACATTGGCTTGAGCAAGGAGAGCAAGGGCTGGATTCTTTGGGACCCTCTCCTTACCAAGGAGATTGTGAGCAGGGACGTGATCTTCCATGAAGACATGTCCCTCGCTCGATGGAAGTTAAACTATCTACCTCCTTCTCCCTCTCTCGAAGACCCTCTCCCCACTCCACCAGGACTCACCACAACACCCGCAGTGGAGCCCTCTCCAAGTGCACCTGCTGGAGATACCACACCATCTCCACCTATACCTGAAAACAACACACCTTCTCATGAGCAGCAGCAGAGTCAACATGAGCCAAACCACACGTCACCGCCTCTCTTCACCGACGAGCCGTCTTCTCTCCAACCCTCGATGGAGCAGCCCTTAACGCGAAAGTCAACACCTGAGCAGCAGCCAGTCGCAGAGAAGCTGTCTTCAACCGTATCATCTACTTCTTCACCTCCAGTCAACACTTCAACCATTATCCCTGACGCAGCAGACAAGCCGCTTCAACCCGTTCAACCACCAAATGATGTTCCTGAGACAATCACTCTTTCAGCACCTCCAACCATCCCTAACGGTAACACGAGTCACGAAGGTATCACCGAGCATTCACAGCGTCCCAAACGAGCACGCAAGCCAATGCAGCGCTTGAACCTCGCAGTCGGTGCATGCTTCCCAGTCACAACCAAGTGTGCCGATCCTCACTGCATGGACTGCAAGGTAGTCGCCATGTGTCACGCCATCAGTTGCCTCCCACCTGAGCCATCCACTCGCAAACAAGCACTGGCAAGCGCTGAGAGGGCAGAGTGGGTAAAGGCAGAGAGAGAAGAGATTAACAGCCTCCTTGCACAAGGTACATGGGTCCTTGCACCACTCCCTCCTGGTAAGAGAGCACTAAAGGTTAAGTGGACATACCGAGTGAAAGTGAAGGGAGACGGTACACTGGACCGATTCAAGGCACGCCTGGTAGCCAAAGGTTTCTCACAGATGCCAGGCACGGACTACACAGAGACCTTCTCTGCCGTAGCCAAGTACACCACAGTCAGGTGCCTCCTGGTAATGGCCACAGTGAAGGATCTCCACATCCATCAAATGGATGTGAAGAATGCCTTTCTCTATGGTAAGCTCGACGAAGAGATCTACATGGTACAGCCCGAAGGTTACTCCGATGGTACCACCAACGTCTGCAGGCTGCTGAAGTCCCTCTATGGACTAAAGCAAGCACCACGAGTCTGGTTTCACACCCTTGAGGTATCACTCCTCACCCAAGGTTTCACCAAGTCACAGTTCGATGCAGCACTGTACATCCTACGCACAAGTGAGGGGGAGTCCTTGTGGCTCCTAGTCTATGTGGACGACATCCTCCTCGTGTCAGCATCCTTGAGTCTCCTGACACGCATCAAAGGTATGCTCACCCAAGACTTCATCATGACAGACATGAGTGAGCCCTCACACTACCTTGGTATGAACATCGTGAGGGACCGCACCACCAAGTCACTTTTCATCTCACAGCAGAGGTACACTGAGAAGGTCCTTTCAAGGTTTGGTCTCCTTAACTGCAACCCAATTGAGACCCCACTCCCCTCGGACTTCATGCCAAGCTCACACGAGCAAAGCATTGACCCTTCCACTGTTGAATCAGAGGTCACTGATCTTGAGGGTGAGGTCGAGAGCCTTGAGCCTCCTGAGGACATTGGTCATGACACCTATGCACCACAGTCCACGTCCCACATCACACCCCTTGAGCTCTCACTCTACCAGAGCCAAGTGGGCAGCCTTATGTACGCCTCCATCTGCACCCGTCCTGATCTTGCCCATACCGTTGCCATGCTCTCTCAATGCATGACATCACCTACTCGCATGCATCAGCGTGGGGCACTTCGTGCCCTGCGCTACCTCAAATCATCCTCTTCCTTTGGTCTCCTCTTTCAAGGGTTTGAGGGTGCAAGCATGCTGTATGGCTTCACGGATGCAAATTGGGCTGGGGATATCCCTACTCGCAGGTCCACTGGAGGATACATCTTCATGCTTGGAGGGGCAGCCATCTCTTGGCAGTCAAAGAAGCAGAGTTGTGTGGCTTTATCAACCACGGAGGCAGAGTACATGGCTGCGACCCAAGGAGCCCGAGAAGCAGTGTGGATGAGAGGCCTATTGAAGGAGCTTGACCTCCCACAAGAGAGCCCTACTCCCATCTTCATCGACAACACGTCGACGATCGCTCTCACCAAGAACCCAGTCTTCCATGGGAGGACCAAGCACATTGCGACGCAGTACCACTACGTCCGGGAGCTTGTGGAGCAGAAAATCATTGAGCCCCTGTTTTGCCGCACGAGTGAGCAAGCGGCGGATTTCCTCACCAAGGTCGTTGCACGCGACATCTTCATCAACAACCGAGTTCAAGCCGGGTTAGTCCCAGCAGTCGGATTTGAGGGTACGGGCTTGCAGTGAGGGGGAGTGTTGTGAATGGCACGCTCTTCACGTGCCACGCTACTGTGCCACTCCAACCCCTTCCCCTCAAAACACCCTCGACACATTTTCAACTCATCCTCTCCAACTCAAGCCTATCAACCACCTCTTTAACTACTCCCAACCACCATAGACTTTCCTAGTCCAACTCAACCAATATTCAAACCAACTTCCCATACTTATCCTCAAGTCCCACCATAAGGCACATGACTCCTCATGATTTTCCATGTGCTTTCCTTTCCTACTCATCAAAGTTTACCCAAGTCATCTACCTCCTCCAATTATCCTCCTCTCATGTGCCTTCAAGCACATGCTTCCACTTCCTAGTCATCAACCTCCACATGCCTCTCATTTATTCCTTCCATCATTCCTTTCCCAAGTCACCAAAGTTGCCACCTCATCCCTAAGGACTTCATGATTATCCCATCACCTCCTATTACAAGGCAACAAAACTCATCATCTCCTCCACTCATCCTTATCCAACTCACTAAGCTCTCTTCCAACTCAACAAGGCTTACATCTCCAACTCATCAAGTGCTCAACCACCATCACATGCTCCAATACTATTCATCTACATCAAGCATCTCTACAACTTCTCAAGAAGGTTCTATTGTGCGACCAAACGCAGTTACACCACATTAGCGACGACGCGAGTCGAGACCAGAATGCCTGTCGGAACTGCAAAGAGCCATTTGGGAAGGATTATTGGAGGGGAGACTTGTTGTCGTATACCCTGCAATTTCCCCCCCATCATGAGTCTTCTAAGAACTCGCTTTGTGGTCAGACTCGCTTCTGTGTAGTAAACCTTTATCCCTTCTGAACTTTCTCATCAGCTCTTATGTTTCATCTTTTTATTGGCGAGTGAATTGATCAGGCGCACTGTACATCACTCGTCGCGATCAGTGAAATCCTTGCATTGTGTAGGCATACGGCAAAGGCGAGGGATCTGTCTGAACTGAACCTGAAATGAAGTTCCTCGCCGGCCGGTTGGAATGCACCGCGCCAGACAAATTGGAATGGTCCACTGGATTTCAGTACGGTTCAGCTAGTTTTAATTCGATGCAGGAAATTATGTTCAAACAATCGAGTGGTTGGGTAGGGTTGCAACGAATTCGTACCCAACAGCATCCAAGTGCCCGAATTCTGTCAGACACCGCAGTACGGGGAGTGGGACATATCCTTAACCTTGAAGGATATGTTACTGTCAGTTGTGCTATTTCCTCATTCCGCGCCTTTACCGCCTTCTTTCTTCTGGCGTAGCACAGGCTTTATCCCCGTCCATATACGTACTAGTTCAATCCGCGGGCGGCGCCTTAGCCGACATGCCGACTCTCAGCGTCCAGACAAACGTACCTGGCGATAATGTTGTGATCACCGACGTCATGAAGGACTTGAGTAAAGTCGTGGCTAGAGTCCTCGACAGGCCTGAAGAAGTAAGCGTTTTCGTCACGTATAGTTTCCAAAAATCGTTGATATACAATTCAAGAACAAGACTGAAGCTTAATCCTGCGTTTTCCTGGCTTGCAGTATGTGATGATTTCCGTGAAAACGTCAATCCCAATGTGCTTTGGTGGAACGGAAGCCCCCGCAGCCTACGCCGAAGTTAATGCAATCGACAGGCTGGGTCCAGACACGAATAAGAGACTCAGTGCTGCCATTTCGGAGATTCTTGAGGCCAAATTAACAGTTCCACCCAACCGCTGTTACATCAAGTTCTATGACGTGAAGGTAGTGGCTCAGCTTCCACTCTTGTTTCTGAATCCTGAGGTTTCATGTCGTCCTGCGTGTGTTCAGGTCTCGGATAAAGGCATTGATCAGAGTGCAATTGTCTACATGCTTGTCATCTGTAGATGAATGCACATTTTGCCGCTTTGTGTTAAGTCCAGCTTCATCCACTAATGGATTTCATTTTTCTTGTGCAGGCAGCAGACTTCGGTTGGAATGGCTCCACGTTCGATGGCTTAGTATGAAGCTAGTCATCTATGCATCAATAGTTTTGGTTGCGCAGCCCATTTCCCAGTTTACTGTTTGACTTGAACTTGTGTCCCAATTCCCAGGTTTATGAATAGGGCTTTCAATATACTTCTTGGTGTGCACGAGCTATCCTTTTTTTTCTCCTAATGACACGTAACAGTACGAGAGGCAAGGCTCAGTCTCGGTAACACGTCTTCATGTCACTGTCTACACCTGTAACACGCTCTTGCACTTACATTGTGCCTCGTGAACTGCTTGCTCAATCCTGGTAAAATTTTGCCCCACCGCCTTTCACCATCACCTTTCACCATCCCCTGTCACCACCATCCCCTTTCACCAACACCTTTCACCATCCCCTTTCACCATCCCCTTTCACCAACACCTTTCACCATCCCCTTTCACCATCCCCTTTCACCATCCCCTTTCACCATCCCCTTTCACCATCCCCTTTCACCATCCCCTTTCACCATCCCCTTTCACCATCCCCTTTCACCATCCCCTTTCACCATCCCCTTTCACCATCCCATTACCACATCTCTTAGAACCATCGAATCAGGCACTGGGCTTATGGTGCCCCACCCATGAGGTCAACCACTTGGCGACCTGCATGAGTGGGGTGCGGTGCAGGGTGGTAAGGTGCGGTGGAACGAGGAAGGTAAGAATGGCTGCTGGTGACATTTGAATCAACTAAACGGTCACTTGTAGAGCTGCACTGCAAACTACAGCCCATCTAGAACGAGTTAACTCAGGTCAAATCTGGTCAACTCAAGTCAACCCAAAGTCAACTCAGCACTCACATCAGCCATGGAGGGTTGGTCCTTGGGGTTGCTGACAAGGCATATCACTGCCTGCAGCTGACTCGCATCGTACCGCTCCTACAGGCGATAGTCCACTAGCCGATGAAATTCCCCTGCCACTGGGATTGCCTGACGGAGAAGGGGGAAGGGGGGGAGGGGGGTGCGTGAGAAAGGGAGAAAGAGCATCGCACCGCCCCTCCAGGCGATAGCTCACCAGGCCGCGGAACTCCCCTGCCTTGGCCACTAGAATTGCCTGAGAGGGTGGTGGGGAGGAAGAGAAGATGGGATTGTGCAGGCACGGCCTGCAGCTGACTTGGTTTGTACCCCCCGTCGAGACGATAGTGAGGGAAGGGGAGGAGGAGAGTGAGCAGGAGAGTGAGGGACGGAACCTAGTACCGCCCTTCTAGGCAATAGTCCACCAGGCGATGGAACTCCCCTGCCTTGGCCACTGGGATTGCCTGTTGGGAGGGAGGAGGAGGTGTTGAGAGGGAGAAGGAGCAAGAGAGCGAGAGAACCAACACTGCAACCAGTCACACACCCAGGTGTGCACCCACCCTCACCCATGCATGTACCACCCTCACCCATGCATGTACCCACCCTCACCCATGCATGTACCCACCCTCACCCATGCGTGTACCCACCCTCAACCATGCAAGTACCCACCCTCAACCATGCATGTTCTCTATGGCTGTGCGAAGCTTGGAGGATTCTAGATCCGATGGGGTGTGAAGAGAGAGACTGGAATCCACAGGGGAGGGGAGTGAATGGAAGGGAAGGAGAGATAAGCAAATTAGAAAAAACGGGTGTGCGGAGCTTAGAACTCCTGATTTTATCAAATAGAATCGAATCAGTGCAAAGTGAAACTGGAGCGGAAACGCGCAAGTGACAAGGGAGAGGGGAAGGGGGGGAGGAGATTTCAATGTCTTTGCAAAGCACAGCCTCGAGGTCTCTGGTTGCTCCAGGTTCATTGAGTGAGGCGTTGAGAGGGAGAATGCAGGGGAATTCACATGGTCAACGAGGGAAAAGCGAACGATGAATGGGGAGAGAAGGTAGAGCGTAAGAAACATAAATGAAAACGGCTGCTAGCCTTACACAAAAGTGGCTAAATGCCTCCAGCAGGTGGCTTTGGTGCCTCACATTATAAAATCGTATTTCAACTGAGGTGACTTCTGAGTCGACTCAAAAGTCACCTCTGGCTAATTGCCTCCATCAGGTGGCTTTGGTGCCTCATACAATTAAATTGTATTTGAGCTGGACTCAAATCCACTAATGTCAAGGGCCGTGCTGCTTGCTGACCTGACATGCGGCCTGGCAGATGTCACTATCAGGTAGCTCCCTAGCCTTCCTATGTCTTGGTGTATTTACACTCGACTCAGAAGACACCAATGTTAATGGCTGTGCTCCTTGCTGACCTGACATGCGGCCTGGCTGATGTCTCTATCAGGTATTTCCCCAGCTTTCGGCTTGGCAGCACATTCCAAATCTTCACGTGCGGAGGAGGAAAAATGCACACAGATGGGACAGCAGCACGGAAGGGGTTGATCGGTGAGAAAAGCAGATGCGTTAAAAAAAACTGAAGAGGTTGAAAAAAGCCGCATCGGAAAGCTGAGGATTCCGGAGGATTCATGACGCGACAAAAGAAAGTAAAAGAGACTGGGTCTTCTTTAGAAGTCTAACTAAATGGATTTCCATTCTTATGACCAAGGAGAAAATCGACGATTCTATGCGATTCACAAAATTGTCACACCCTGAGTATCTGGTTCTCCAAAGCCGTGTCGAGATAAAGTTCAACGGCGAACCCTCGCGTCACGCTTCTGCCGAGCGGCGATGCCGGGTACGCGTCAGCAGCTACCAGCTGCCGGCCGAACCCCATTGTTGAACGTCAGATTCGGAAAATGTGAATCTACGGTGGTAGCAGCAATGTAGCAACGATCCTTTACCTCCAACTCTGTATTGGAACTTAGTATCCAATCCGCGACCGAACGCAGTTACACCAGATTAGTGACGACTCGAGCCGAGACCTGAAAACACGTGCCAGAACTGCAGAGTGCAATAGCTAAGGAGCCTAGCCATTAATACATTTCCCCCAGTCTCCAGTGGTGGGAGATACTCGTTTTGCGGTCAGTCTCGCTCTTGTGAAGTAAAACTCCTAGTTCTTATGTTTCATGTTTTGATTGGCGAGTGAATACACCTCCGATGCACTGTTACAGTACACCATTCGCCACAACTTCACTGCATGGAGTCTGGGTGAATCCGCGAAACGCAACGACGAGAACCACCGAGAAGTTGGAATTGCTGCTATTGAGCTTAATTCACTAAATGCAGTACGGTTCAGTAGGATTTATTACGATTCACAGATTTCTGTCTAAATGATTGAATGGTTGGGTAGGCTTGTAGCGAATGTGTAAGTCATCATCCCTAGGCCCGACAGGGTTCAGACACCCTACTCCAGAGACTGGGACATAAAGTATTCCTTGGGCGTAAGGTCTGCTATTTCCTCATTCCGCGCCTCTTCCGTCTCTTTTCTTCTGGCATACCACAGGCTTTATCTCCGTCATTCTACTTACTAGTTGAACCTGTAGACCGGTGCCTTAGCCGACATGCCGACTCTCAACGTGCAGACAAACGTACCTGGCGATAACGTTGTGATCAGCGATGTCATGAAGGATTTGAGTAAAGTCGTGGCTAGAGTTATCGGCAAGCCTGAATCAGTAAGCATATTTGTCAATCTAGTTCCGAAAATCTTAGAGATACTATTTAGGTACAAGACTGAGGCTCAATCCTGCGTTTTCCTGGCTTGCAGTATGTAATGATCTCCGTGAAAACGTCAATCCCAATGTGCTTTGCCGGAACGGAAGCTCCTGCAGCCTATGCCGAATTGATTTCAATCGGCGGGCTGGGTCCAGACACGAATAAGAAACTCAGTGCTGCAATTTCTGAGATTCTTGAAGCCAAGTTAACTGTTCCAACCAATCGCTTTTACATCAAGTTTTATGACGTGAAGGTATGTGGCTCAGCTTTCACTCTTGTTTCTGGATCACGAGGTTTCATGTCACTGTGCTTATTTGTGTGCCGTGCCTGTATTCAGGTCTCGGATAGTGGGCATTTATCAGAGTGCCATTGTCTACATGCTTGTCATCAATAGACGAATGCACATCCTATTGCAGCGTTGTGATAAACCCAGCTTCGTGCACTAATGGTTTTCCTATTTTTTGTGCAGAGATCAGATTTTGGTTGGAATGGCTCCACGTTTTGAAGCTACCGTTGTCATCACTGTGCATTACTTGGGTCGACCATCTCCCGATTCAATGTTTGTCTCGGGTCGGCTTGTGTCTTTTCAGCAAGTACCGTAAAACGGTTTTACATGAAACCGTACAACTCATTACAGAGCAAAACGCACTACACTTATAAATAAGATGGCAAACACAGTATCCTAGAAAGTAATTTAGACAGCAGCACAGGACTTAATCTGTTATGGATGACAATAACTAATCAGGTTTAGGAGGTGGCCATCTGTTACGGATAACAATAACTAATCGGGTTTAGGAGGCTGCCACTTTCTTGAAGTGATTGCCACCAGTCAGTAGCTTGAAGGCGTAGAAGAGGGTCATTATGGCACTGTGATTTGTCAGAACACGGACAACACAGCAAATACGGTATGATTGAAAGAGATGGCCTGGGGCGAGATCGCCAAACAGATTTGCCTACTTGCCAGAACATGGAGCCATTCGCTAGCAGCGTTTGTAATCCCGCTTGCACGGGGAGAAGCACACGAACTCACAAGGAACAAACATACCTTAATCCAGCAACGACTCCGGCTGGGAATATCTTCTGGGTGGTCATGTATCGGTCGCCAAGAACGTAAGTCAATGCGCCACCAATGGCTGCAAGTTACAAACAAGCGTTAAGGGGGAAACGTATCAACACGCGGTTGGTTACCATGCCGTCACCAAGAAATTACAAAAGACTGAACGAGGAAAAACGAGGCATACTGCACGGACCGAGTTGGGCGAAAATGGCTGCAAACGAGTTCTTCCGCTGCTTGAAAAGCTTGAGCTGGATTGCCGCTATTAAACAGAGAATCGCTCCTGACGCTACTCCGCCGATGAGAGACGCTGTGCTTCCCTTCCGCAAAAAGCCTATCAGCCCGCCAAGGATGAGCAGCGAGCCATACGGAATGGTAAAACAGAAATCGTGCATGTTGAAAGGCGGCGGCGTGGTCTAAGAAGGGGAATGTGGTGACAAAAATAACGATATGAATACCGTACCAGTAGCTTATTTGGAAAGAGACGAATACGTCTGACCAAGATCGTGGAGCGAGGGGAGGCTCGAATTTCTGCCTCTTGGCGTGCTGGCTGGCCTTGGTGACTGGTCGGTGTTGGATGTGCGTTTCGTACCCTGTAAAGGCGCAAATGTCAGATTTCGATGACATCCCATCCATTGTTGCCAATATGATTTAAACGATTTGCATTGAAGGATGGAAATACCCACTTGATACATTGAGAGCCTGTATACAGATGAAATATCATGGAATCTGGAACAATAGGGCAGCCATACCCTTCATACTACGGTACAATATTTTCTACATTAATGCAGCTGGAACATCCTCGCAACTCCTTAGTAGCGGCCCACGAAGATACCCTGTTCCCTGTCCTCGTTCCACTTGTCAACCTGGAAGGGAATACACATCACAGGGACACAGGCATCATTGACATCAGGCCCGACATAAGCACAGCAAGCAGGAGAGTAACCTCACTGACCAAGCGGACATGCCCACTCAGATCCAAACTCCACAGCGACATGAGAATGTGACGTACCCATTCAGCAGGGCACAATGTCCGGTAGGCCTTGGCAAACTTCTGACACTCCGAGGCGCCCTCGCCCTTCTCAGCAATGCACCTGGCAAATCATAACGCAGGTCATAGGAGCCGCAAGAAAATAATATGCATACCATCTGAAGTGAAGTGCTAAACTAACGCATATCATCTGTTTGCACTCAAGTTTCGGGAACATTGAGAGGGCAGCATGCTGGATCTGAAAGTGAAGCGAGATGCAAAGACAAAGAAGTGAGCTGCGAAGACACAGAGAAAGCGTGGTCCTACTTGTGGAACTCGTTGTAGCACGTGAAGCAGTGCTTCGCCTGGTTCGCTGTAGGAAACCGGAAATCCATCGGCACCGTCTTGATGTCATCCACCTGAAAATGCAGTGCAATACAATGACGGAAACGATCAAGGAACAACGGACAGCATATAATACTGAACTTCATGTCGGGTGAAAGGAGGATCTCGGGTAGCGAAGAAAGGAGCTGCTTTTCCAGCTGCGGAGCGGAACGGAGACACGGAAAACGGCGGAAGGAGCACAGCAGAATGTACAGAAAATGAAAGCGCATGAATGAATCTGATCTTACAGTGATGACGCGCTTTCCCTCGACCTCCGCCATCACGTCCAGGATCGCAACCGGAATACCGCCTTCAAAATCAAAACTACCAGGTCAACGTCAGATAAAGAGTCTCCAACAAAAACTACGAATACCCACGTAGACCACGTAATCAGCGTTAACCACGCAAAACACGCAAAACGCTACACACCTGCGAAGGTTATCGCTCAAGCAGTGCTTGAGAATGGTTAGGAGCGGCTCTAGAACTCGAGGTAGGCAGAGCGTGGAGCTTCTAGGGCTGTTCTAGCAGTGCAGTGACATGCGTCAGCGAAGGAAAAGCGGGGAGCACAGGAAGAAGCGGAGGGTGGCGGAGGAGGAATCGGAAACCAGGGGGAGCAACAAAGGGGGAACGGAATCGGGGGGAACACGGGAGGTTGAGGGGAAGCTGCTCGCTATTGTGTTACGATTTCATGGCTTTTAGTGGTCACGTGCATACAGCAAACGTGTTTGCGTCGCAGAATGAATATAACCCTGCACATTTGCACATTCATAACACAATAAACACTTCATTAACTATGTGTGATCTAAGTCGAATTTAGCATTGCTACGTTCTGCTAATATCCCACGACGTCACCTAACTTCAAAAAGGCGGGAATGGTGTTTATCTCAAATTTACGAGCAAACAGGAAGCAATGGGTGCGCTGTCCAGCCAGAGTGCAAGGCCGACTCCCGGATAATGTCAGCGTGTATATGGTCTCTGCTGGCACCATGAAATCTTGCTGCAATACAGAAATTGGGGGAGAAAGGCAATGTGACAAGGGTTAGTTTCAAATCTGGCAAGCAATAAAACAAGGTGTGGAACCTACGGTACATGAGATTGTGCCTTGTGACCTCCTCACCTGTACTTTGCGGATAAAACCGGGATTGATTTCTTCCGGGGTGTATGAAGCAGGATGTCGTGAGATCGCTCCGCCCCAGTGCACATAGAGCACACTCCGCGTGTCCACATTCTCAGGGTCTTCAATCTGCCAGCGAAAGAAAGAGCGAAGTGCTGAGCTTCAAGGTTATTTCTGGTTACCCTGCAGCGCAGGTGCATCTGCGAACAGGCATGGAGATTCCAATTGTTGCATGGAGACTCCAATTGTTGCATGGAAGTCGCAAACTGAACAAAGGTCAGCTCATTTATTGGAAATGCAACGGAAAATAACTAGTATGGTGGTAAATGTCAGCAGCAATTTCATGATGCGGAACATACCGCAAGAACTGTTTGAATGTAGCTTTCATCAGGGATCTGCCATGCCAGTTGTGTGCCATACCACACCATGCCATGCCGTGTCGTGCCAGGGGGGTGACATGCCATGCCATGCCATGCCATGCCAGGGGCGTGCCATTCAGATAACATTTGGGAACCATAAATAAGGAAATTAGGGTTTGCCTCGAATTAGGGACATTGCATGAGGCCTACCTGACACTTTAAAACCAGGGTCTCATGTAAGAGAATCTGCCTCCAACTGCAAAACATTTGAAGCTCGGTCACCCTGTTTGAGTAGGCGAACTTTAGAGGTAGGTCTGGCAATTCAATGTGCGACACCTTTCCGATTTTGCCCCTGTTTCAATTGCAAAACAACTTGCCGAGTACTTGAGGCTTTCGGGAAGCTCGTACATTTTGCTGGTGATTTTGCTTCGGCACCGAACCAAAATCCGAGCCTAGAAGGTTTGGATGCAACCTGCGAATTGTGTTTCCTTCGCGCCCCTCGCTACACCCCTCGTCAAACTTTACACCTCGCCAACCAATCCTAGTCAAGCACCTTACATCAACTGCAAAACAAATGAACTACGTGAGACCCTGGATTTGAGAGCAAAATATGTGGCGCATCTTAACATGATGACAACGAATAAGGTCTACAGCCAAGCAGTAACCCCCTCTAAACATCTTAATAAAGGATCTCAAGAAGGAACCAGCATGCCTTCACATCCCTCAGAAAAGGTCTCCGAAAAGAGGTCCGCATGTCACTACTTACCTCGGTCTACGAAAAGGTCCCAGTACTATTGGTCCCTCACAATGAGTGCTGCATGGGCACGAGTAAGAGCAAACCACTGCACACTTGAGGTCCTCAACAAGGGAAGGGACCCGCATGCCATCACATACCTCAGAAAAGGTCTCTACGAAAAGGTCATAGTACTTCCGGTCCCTCACAATGAGGGCTGCATGGGCACGCGTTAGGGCAAACCACTGCACACATAGCAGAGAGGAGAAGCACAGAAGACAGAGAAGGCAGCAGGACGAGTTTTCACATGTCTCAGACCTTTTGGTCCCTCACAATGAGGGCTACATGGGCACGAGTTGAAGCAAACACTGCACACAGGGCAAGCACAGCAGAGAGGCGAGCATAGTATCGACGACAAGCATAACAGACAGATGAGGTAACAAGGCAAGATTTGGAGATTCTCAAAATTTTCAGTCCCTCACACTGAGGGCTGCATGGCCACAAGTTAGAGAAAACCACTGCACCCGTAACAGACAGGGCAAGCATAGCAGATAGCAAAATGAGGCACAACGGTTAAAAAGGAGGACACCCCCCGCTATTCTCTCCACCTGCAATTCCTTTCTGAACTGGTGGCGCTTGTTTGCTGGCGCCTTCAACATACAGTTCCCCACACATTCTCCTTGCAGCTTACATTTCCCTGCCTCATCCTCTTCACATTCGCAGTCCACCCTTCGCACCTGCCACCCCTTTCTGAACTGGTGCTGCTTGACCATTGGCGCCATTCAGTTTAAAGCTCTTCACAAATCCTCCTTCCAGCTTACAGCTCCCGTTTTTTTTCCTTCACCTCACATTCACAGCCCGCCCTGCCTACCTGCGAACCCTTTCTAAACT